GGTAACACTGTATTTTAGTTTCAATCCACCATTAGTATTAACTATATTAATAAATTCATACTGGCAATTAATATTTGGAATATCCTGTATTCTAACGTCACTTATAGGTCCTAAAAAATATAAATATAGTAAAATTTGTTTATTTTCATATAGAACATACGATGCTATTAATTTTTATTAATTGACTTACCACTTGAAAACAAACGAGATCAAAAAAATTTGTAGGAATTGTAGGTTATGTTATTCTTCTTCTTTTCTTCTATTTTAGTTTGATAATGTTTTTTGGCCTAAACATTCAAGATTAGTGCGTTTGGTAGCGAATTATTAGATCGGCATCTGAGAAAAATTCATATAGATATGTATATAAACTTGTTTTTACATGTAATTGGTGTTAATTTTAATTGCAAGCATTTAGAACATTCTCAGAATATGAGGTACATGCTGGGTATATGACTTTTAGTATCTTCTAAAAATGTCCTGTTATAGCACGTGCTCAGTATATACGTTTTGGAATATACTTTTAAGGCACGTACTCAGTATATACTTTCTAGAATATACTTTCAAAGTATATTCTAGGTATGTTCTAAGAACATTCTAAAAGGATATACTAAAAATAACTTAAACAGAACGTTCTTGGTATATTCATAGAACATAGATGTTGTGTGGGTACTAAGTTCAACCCTCTGTATATTTCAAAAGAAACAATCGAACATCAAAATTTTTTAATGAATCATTTTTAATGATAGTCTACTTTTATAAGAATATACTAATTTTTTCCTAGCGCAATAGACGTGTACAGGGTGTGTTAAAATTCAGATACATAATTTTATCAATTTTTTTTAAATGTAACACCCTGTATTTCATATCACTACTAAAAAGTACTATAATTTTTCGTTCGTTTGAGTTAAATATTGCCTATCCCTAAACACAAAAGTTTAGCGAGATTCTTAGATGAAATGTTAAAAAGGGTTAATTATAACTAAATTCACAATGTAATTTGATTTAAACTCATCCTGTTAAATATTACATACTAGTTACTAGTTAATCAGTTTATATTTTTAAGGTACCTGGTACAAGTTTTTATCAACGGAATTTATTTTTTGGGACCTTTACAACTTTTTATATAAAATGCAATGAAAACGCTAACAGAACTTCATTTTTTTTTGTGCATTAGGTCAAGTGGGCTTTGAAATTCACGCCAAAAGAATAATTTGACAGTTCCGAATTGTTTAAATAAAAAAATAAAATTTAGTGTTTGTTTACAAGTATTTAAATTTATTGATTTGACTAATTTAAAAATGAATTTTGAAACGAATGAATTGACTGATATGATTTTAGTGCTAGGGGCTAGTGATGAAAATTGCTTGTTGGCAACTAAAATTTATAAGCAAAAATATCCTGATCGTCGACAACTTCGTAAAGAAATTTTTGAAAATCTGTTGGTAAGATTTAAACGTACAGGTAATGTAGCATATCAAAAAAATGATATAAAAACACGAACTTTAAATTAACAAAATTAACTCAGTATTCTACTTAGTGTTACCGAAAATCCAAACACCAGTACACGCATCATGGAAAATGAAACGGGAATTAGTAAATCATCGGTCAATAGGATACTATTAAAAAATAAAGTACATCCATACCATATCCAATCTGGGGAAGCACCAACATCAATCCAAGAAGTGAGTCACTATTACAATTCATTCTAGGTGAAGGGTTAGAAATTGCCAATAGAGGCAACAAACCAACTTTCGTCACTGCCAACCAAAAAGAAGTTCTAGATATGACCATGTGTTCGAGAGGCACATATAACCAAATCAGGGACTGGCATGTGTCCGATGAACCATCGTGTTCAGATCACAGACATATCCGATTCCATACACAATGTCCAACTCGTACAGCAGACAGGTTTATAAATCCGAGAGAGACGAATTGGGAAGGGTACATAAAATCCCTCGATGAGTCTCTCAAGGAGGAAACCACCAATGTACGAGAAACAATAACACTCGAAAGGACAGTAGACTTGGTAAACAAGGCACTTACACTTACTGATGCCTACCAAGAAAACTGTCCCGAAAAAAAGAGATGCCAAACGAGAAAAACGGTCTGGTGCAATAAACACCTAGATAGCCTGAGAGGCGAGGTGAGAAGGCTATTCAACAGAGCGAAATCCACACGAGACTGGACTACTTATAAAACAAGCTCACAGAGTATAACAAGGAAGTACGCAAGGCTAAAAGAAACTCATGGAGGAAGTTCTGCGAAGAGGTCTCAGAGACCACCGCCAGCGCTAGAATCCATAGAGTTATAGCCAAAGACAGTACATCTAGTCAAGTGGGATTCCTCAAAAAAGAGGATGATACCTACACCACGACACTAGAGAAAAGTCTAGAGATACTAACTCAGGTGCACTTTCCGGCCTCAACTATCCTAACAGGCCTGGACTCAGGAGACCAAGAGAGCTACAGCCACAAGGGGATCAGACCAACTCCAACATACTGGAAGCTGGCCTCCTAGATCACAAGACCAAACAGAATTAGTTGGGCTATCAACGAATTTGAATCATACATATCGCCCCATAAGCCTATCGTCCTTCCTACTTAAAACTGTAGGAAGATTGATAGATAGGTATATCAGGGACGAGATACTAAAAATAAGGAAAGTCAACTGACCTAGCGCTGGACGATCTAAACAGGCTGCTTTCAAAGTCAATAGATGACAAAGAAATCGCAATAGCCACTTTCTTAGATATCGAAGGAGCCTTCAACAATGCCTTCAACCAAGGCTCTAGAAGAGAGAAACGTCTCAGTTACAATATGCCAATGGATCACTGCCTGTCTAGGGAACAGGATTATTTTATCCACTTTAGGAAAGGCAACTATACAGGCAAAAGTTACACGAGGCTGCCCACAAGGAGAAATATTATCTCCAATGCTGTGGTCAGTTCTGGTGGACGACTTACTCAAAACATTGTCCAAAGAAGACTACCAGTTCCTAGGATATGCAGACGACCTAGCAATTATCGTCAGGGGGCGATTTGCAGGCACAGTCTCGGAGCGATCTCAAACAGCTCTAAACATAGTGAACAACTGGTGCAAAAAGGAACAATTGTCCATTAACGTACAATTAACAACAGTTGTACCTTTCACAAAAAAACGGGTACTTACAGGACTAAGACCACTAGTACTAAACAACATAGTTATTCCATTCGTCACAGAAGCCAAATACCGCGGAGTCATATTTGACCAAAGGCTTACGTGGAATCAACATCTCAAAAAACTCACATGCAAAGCTACAATAGCTCTGGTAAGCTGTAGAAGAATATGTGGGAAAAACTGGAGTCTAAACCTCAAAATGACCGTATGGTTATACACAAGCGTAATAAGACCCATGATAACCTATGGTTCAGTGGCATGGGTAACAAAAACTGCGCAGACAAGTGCAATAGGCTAACTCACTAGCATTCAGCGGCTTGCCTGTCTAAGTGCTACTGGGTCTATGCGCACTACGCCGACTGCAGCAATGGAGGTATTATTAAATCTCACGCCACTGCACATCTTCATACAAAAAGAAACCAGGTCAGCTATTCACAGGCTAATGCAGGGACAAAACCCAATAAGCCAACTACATAGCACCGACCACACAAGGCTATATCAGCAAGTAAAAAGGGATAATATTGTAGCTATGCCTACTGATAGAGCCATAACCACATACAAATTTGAAAGAAATTATCAAATTCAAATACCAGCCCGAGAATCTTGGAAACAGGGATCTCCCATACAGGCTGAACTCGTCTGGTACAAAGACGGTTCAAAAACCAAGGAAGGAGCCGGTGCTGGAACCTATGAGTTAAGGAAAATATGCAACAGTGTTCCAGGCTGAACTAATAGCCATATAAGAGTGTGCAAGAGAAATATTAAATCAGCAAGTATCAGGCAAAACTATTGCCATATACTCTGATAGCCAAGCAGCTCTAAAGGCACTTCTCTCACCAGAAATCAAACCACGACTGGTGAAAGATTGTCTAGAAGACCTGGCAGAGCTAAGTAGTCAAAATAAGGTGACCGTAGCCTGGGTTCCAGGTCATAAGGGATATCAGGGCGAATTAGCCCGAGAAGGCTCAGAAGGCCATGACAGGCCCCGAACCCTTCTGTGGAGTTGCTAAGGCATTGTGCAAGGCATCCATTAAACAATGCAAAAAGAGTCTCTGGAATGGTGGAACAACTATCCAAGACTGAGACAGGCCAAACAATTCATCAAGGAACCATCGGCCAAGTTCACGAAAGGCCTACTGGATCAAAAGCGTCAAATCATTAGGATAACAGTAGGCCTTCTTACTGGACACTATCACCTCAAAAGGCACATGAGTGTCATAAATCCAGGAGAAGAAGCAACTTTGTGCAAGTTCTGTGAAGAAGAAGAGAAAACATCATTCCACGTCCTGTGCCAATGTGAAGGCCTGGCTGAACTGAGGTTTCTAACATTGGACGAAGAAAAGCCAAATACATACAACTACAAGCGGGAGCCATTGACAAAGCTACTAATAAAAAAAGACCAGGCTAGACTCCTTTTCTTCCATTGGCGGAGAATTTTTAAAGGTGCAATTATTTAAATAATCAAGTTCTACGCCTATGTATTATTATCGGACAAAATTTTAATACCATTTTTTTTGCCACATAAAACTCTACCAATATACCAAATTTCGGCAAAATCGCACATGTCGTTTTAAATTTATATGGGAAAAACGATTTAAAAATTGTAACTTCAAGGCCCTCTGGAGCCCAAACGAAGCATCTTTGTACTAAGGTAATTTTACTTAAATCAACTTATTTTGGGCTAAGGAATATGTGGTATGTTTTTGTAAAGACCTTTTACAGACACCCTGTATAACTACAGGTATTTCCAGTGCCTTCTAATTATATTTAAGCTTTTAAAATTTTAAATGTCATTAAATAATCATAGATTAACTTTGGTTTAACCTTCTTTTCTATTTTTTTCAGGTGTGGTTTAAAAACAGACGAGCAAAATGGAGGAAACAAAAAAGGGAGGAGCAGGAGCGACTCCGAAAAGTTCAGGAGGAAGACGTGTGCAGTAGGGCGGCTACCAGTGACCAGAATCATCTCATAGCGTCTCAGAACTTTACCGATGACGATTCATCCGATCTTGAAGTCGCATAGTTCTGAATAGCTTCGAAAAATCTCTTTATCTAGTCAATGAAATTGTTTTTGTATATATTTCTGTTTAAGTTTGTTTAGGTTTTTTATATAGACAACAATTGTTTCCTGAGGAAATCCGCATCCATTTTATTATTATAATTTGTGGCTCAATTCAGTTCTTAATTAATTAAAATTATGTACGAAGGGTAGGAAAGGATTTTTATCGTTTCTTTCTTTTAATTTTATATTTTTTTATAAAACATTAAAAATCTATTGTAAAATATGTTTCAATGTAATTACTGATTTTGTGCTTTCTAAGGTTTGTAGATTTCGGTTTTGGCGGTTTTTTTAATGCTTATTTGTTTGCATAATTTCGGATAATTTGGGGCAATTTATGGGTAATTTCGGGTAATTTCTACAGTTTCTTGGTACTTAATTGTTTAGAATCATTTCAATAATTTATTGTAATATCTGATATTTACGGTAATTTCTGTTATTCTCTGGTGTTTACGTTAATTTTTGGTAATTTATGAAAATTTGTGGTATTTTTTGAAATTGAAAATAAGTAAATATTTTTCTTTTTTGTTTATTTTGTTTTTAATTTTAACATCTTGACAAATATAAAAAAAATATCCAGAAAAATTAAATAAATATCAGCTTAGTTATATAGGCTGACACACGGCCATTATCAGGAACAGTTTAGATAAACGCTCAAACTCGTCAATTTTTAATTAAACGGAAACATCTTCCTATAATATCCTCAACAGGAAAAATGTCATTTCACTCTCCTTCGTCACACTAATAAATACAATTTATTATTATTCTTTTTAATTTGAAGTTATTGGCATCAACTACTTAAGGTATTAGCCTCGTGTTCTGCGCATACTTTGTTACTGTTTCCCTGCGTCACTTTAGGAACAGCACTGTTAATTAGAACCCAACAGTATTACTATTATTATTATCATATTTTTTATCGTTTTTTTTTTCCTAATTTTATTGCCAATATATTTATTGTTCTATATTATTATCTTTTATATTTAAACCTAAATTTTGTGCCAATAAAGTTATTAATAATATAATTTAAATAGGGAGATTACAAAGTACGACACATCATTGAATGGGTAATTTTATGGAAAATTCAGCAATATAACTATAGGGACCGTGCGTCATGACTTTAACGCCAACTGGTGACAAAAATGTGCACTTTTTGGGGGAGATTTATTAATGTTTTATATGGCATTTATTGTTTAGTAATTATTAATTAAATAAAGTCGAATTATTTTCCTAATATCATTATCGAAAAAACTTGTTGCATCCGTGGATGTACAAACATATCGCTTTGGAAACCTGGATTTGATTCGGTAGTAAAGAAATTTTAAAATTTCCACAGAGCACACTTCGTGATACTCTTTGCTTCGTGTCTCACACCCAACGATATACATAATTACATAGATTGCTTATCCATATGTATCTATCTTGTATCAATTTTGAGCACAGTAAACAAATCATTTACAGAACCGGTTTATAAATTAGAATCTTTAGTGTTTTTTGTCATTAAGATTTTTACATATTTAAATTAACATTTTATATAAATATAATTTTACAGATAATTAATGGTTTATTCTGTTAATTGAAACTAATGCAGAATGTTACTGTGAAAATAGAATGTCCAATTTGACAACTATTTCTCATTTATCACTAAAATAAACAAATCATAATTAATACATTGAAATTACTGTCAAAAGAGATTGCAACAAATTTTAAAATATTAAAAATGCAGTGATTTTCTGTAAAATTTTCAGTAACACTACTATTAAACATTACTCAGAATAATAGATAAGTGTCCAATTACAACTCTTACAAAAGTTTTTTATATCTCATATTAAAGTTGTTTACATTACCTTTACAAAGTTGTATTACATATTGCAATTATGTGTTTTATATAGTGTTATTTCTGAAATGAGAGTGGTCTAAAATTATTTACATCCATCCTTATAAAAATTGTTTAGATCTCTTAATATTATTTAAGTACATGGAAACTCAACTCTCAAAATACATAACGTGTCTTGGTCTTGAATTAAGTAATTATTTTTTTTTTCTAAAGAATAAAATGCTGAAATTTTATTTTAAAACACATTTGGGCTAGAACGCCCTATTTCGTGGGCACTATAGTCTATTTTTATGTATGAGAGAGTATTAAAATAATAAAGCGTCCGTAATCCATAGGCGTACCACTTCTTTTAGTAGACAGTTTTTATGAAGTTATTCCTTGAGTATACACTTATATTTTCACCTAATTAATCTGCTTATAACTTCTAAACAGCTGAAGGTAAAAAAGTGCAATTTTTTCTAAAATGTTTTATTTTTCCACAAGGTATGTTAAGAACATTGTGTCAAACGGGTTATGTAGGTATAAGGGTTTAAACTTTGACTTTTAAACAACGTTACGTTCATAAATAATAATTTTTATATAAAAACTACTTCTTACCTACAAATCCAAATCAGAATCGAAATCAGAAGATGAACTGTCGCAACCAAGCTTCACATTATTTACAGCCTCCAAAAACAACTGTTTAACATCACTCATTTTAAAAGAATTATTTTTTCTTGAAACTTCTACCTTTATCTGTACCCATATCAGTTCAATTGGGTTTACTTCGCAATGATATAGTGGTGATCTAACCACCGTCATCCCACGATTTTTTCCAATTTCATCAATTTCATATTTTTTTAATTTCTCTTTATGAAGGGAACACAAATGATACAGTTCTTTTCTCACAGAACCGGGATGGAACTTAATATTCTTTGAATTTAGCCAATTCTGTAAATCTTTTTTTAACCACTTGGTTGTGGGCATTTTCTCTATAAGTCTCGAGTGATAACTTGCATTATCCATTACCATTATACAGTTCTGAGGAAGAAGATCTATAATTTGTTCGAACCACTCTTTAAAGACATCAGCATTCATGGTAGGAGTAGATTCAAAAGTCAATAAACCACCTTTAACAAAACCGTTTGAACTACCGATGTGTACTATTATTAGTCTGCGCCCCTTTCCTGATGGTGGATTGAAACCAGTAGATAAATTATTTAAAAAAGCCTGTCTTCGACTTGTAACAGTTTCATCTTGCCAAAATTTATTTGGTTTATGTCCCTCGTTGATCCATGTTTTATCTAAATAAAATATATTTCTTCTTTGGTTTCTCATTTCTTTTATAGTCCTTAGGTAATTTATTCTCCATACTACAATATCGCTTCTTTCTATTAAAATAGACTTTCTGGAATGATTTTTCCATAGAAAACCTATTTCTTTTAAAAGTTTCCATAGTGTGCTTCGACTTATTTCAGGGTAATCCTTATCATCTCGAACCGTGGCAAGAACTTTGTCTAGTTGTCGGAAATTCTTTTCTAAAGAAGAACGCATGCACTTTCCTTCGAAGTCTTTCTTTCAAAAGATTTTCTAATTGAAATTTTGGTTTTCCTGGAGCTTTACGTGCTGTTTGAAACTCGCCACATTTTTTTTCTTTAACAACTCTGTAAATCGTAGATTTCCCAACACCAAGCGTACTACTAACTAATTTCACTGTGTCATCAACATTTTTACATATATGTTTGTCTGTAAAAGATTTAAAACAATTAAATATTAATGTTTTTTCATTAACTGTTAAAGGACCGATTTTTTGTCGTTTACACGGCCCTTCCAAATTTTCCATGATCACACTAGAATTCACACTGCACCTTGCAAGTTTCAACTAAACGACATTTAGTAAACTGTCAAGAATACACAACTTGGACCTCCTTACTAAATGGAAAACCTATAATCGCATTTTCGGTGAAATTTGTTGGGAAGGTATTTATCTACTTATAATTCGATTACTGTAAGAAATTCTTGGAATTAAAATAAAACAAAATTGGCAAATAGGTACTTATTGAAAATAATCTTAAGATACGGCTATGTAATCTTTAATACACAGGGCTTTTGGCCTGTCTAAACCTTTTTCTATTGTTCTGTACAGCTTATGTTTATAAAGGACCAATAAAAGACCCAAAACTTGTAATAGCTCAGGTACATTTATTACAATTTTAGGAAATATTTAGATTATTCTGTAAAAATATTTAAAATGACCGTACTAAGTTTTGCATTAGAAATGCTGTTTTATTACTCTCATACATAAAAATAGACTTTATAGGAAAGGCAATATAGCAGTGCACATTGCAACTCGCTTTTCGTAATCTTTTTTATAGATGGGTGAGCAATCTGTATAATTATTTATAGCATTGGGTGTCTCATAAGGTGGATGAATGACATTTCTACTAACATAAAGAATTATTATTATTATTCTCAATCTATTTTATTAATTGACATTTTTAAAATGTTATTTGTAATACTTTTAAATTCAGTGTTACTAAATACCGATATTTTGACATTGGATACACTTGCTTGAGGTACAACTTACAATTTATTGTCACTTAACCATTTAAACCTTTTTGCTTAAAATGTATATACATGTCCAGATTTTTAATAATTTTTCACATTTTATATCATTTTGACCATGTAAACGATTGTTTGTTAAGGGCCGGTATCTATATTTAACTATATTTAATATTTTAAAAAATATCCTTTATTTTTTACTTGCAATGTTTACCCCATTTAATTCTAAAATTGAACACTAGAGAGGGCTAACTTCGGCAGTAGTGCTGCCTCTATATTTCACGCACGGTCCCTATTCATTGCGTTACTTTTGATTTTAGCGCCCTCTAACGGAATAAAAAACTGTTACATGTGACACTTCATTGTTTAGCACAAATTTGCTATTTTGGTTTATTGCGATTAAAGTTAACTAAACTTATTCAATTCCAACATTAATGGCAACTTTCTAATGCTTATTTAAGTTATAATTTCATTAAATTATGTTTTGTTATGTTGTGCATTATATTACTAATAAAATTAGCTTCCAAATGAAGTGCTACACTTTTCAATACCTAACACTTTTTATTCCGCTAGAAGGCGCTAAAGTCAAAAGTATCGCAATTAACAGTTATATTGTTAAATTCCCCATAAAATTACCTTTTTAATGAAATGTCATATTCTATACTTTCCCTACTTAAATTTTATTGATTAGTGTGACGGAGGGCAGGAGAATGACATATGACAGTTGAGGATATG